AATGTTCTATGTCAGAGGGGTGTCACTTTGTCTTGCCTTTAACTACATCAGCGACGATATCACGTATTCTATATTGTATGACGACACAGCTTGTAACGAGCCGGAACATCTAGAGTTGGCTCCCCCCCCCCTCCCCCCATACCCCTACATACAGCCTGAGCCTAAGTCCCACGAGAGAATCTTTTCGAAGAAAACAGTACAAGGTGACACCCCTCTGACGAAACTTAGAAATTATGTTGATAAGTGGGAAACCGTGTATAGGACCAGCAAAGCTTTCATGCGGGAGGTCCAGGTTCGAATGCTTCATATGGTCGTGGATCCTTTTTTTCTGTGTACATTCGTAAGTTCTTCTTCTTCTTCTTTGCGTTCACCAGCTGTAAACTCTGGCGGAAAGTTCTGGTTGCTCGTCCACTTCTGGATTGCAGTACTGTTCCAGAACTTGACTGTTGCGTGTGCATCTGTTTGACAGATCTGACTAATTTGTATGCAGACTGTTGGTTCCTTGTCTCTCAGGCAGATGCACTCCCGCTTTGAAGAAAGCTCCCAATTAGTCGACTCTTACGACATGCTTTCAGGTAGGCAGTGTATCTATTCTTGTTTTCACTAAAACAGGGCCCCGGAACACACACGGGGAACAATCGTAAGTAAAACAAAGCAGAAACAAAACAGGAAGAGAGTTATGAGTTACGAGTTGGATATCTTCACAGCACTCCGGACGCATCAATGGGTGCTCAAATTTTTCTCTCAACATTTTCATCAGCGTCGCGCGGTTAATATTGCCAGTCCTATGCTGGTTGACAAGACTTCGTATGCGTCCGGTGTGCTTCTCATGCTTGGCTATGCCGATCTTTACTCCCAGCACTCGTATTCTTCGCACAAAATCTTCGCAGAAGGCACGTTGCTTCCACAATCCTTGAAACGTCCTAACTCTCTGAGGGCATTGACAATGTTTGCGTGATCCTTAGGTCAGCTATTTTCAATTAATGCGGCACCTGCCAGTCTATCAGCTCTTTCATTAACAACAACACAGAGATATTAGGAGGGAGCAGGTGGCCATGCAGCATTTGAAAGCGAGCTTTTGGTACTGCCATCTGCATCAGGTAGAAGTTGTTCAGCGTTCTCACGAACGATTCAACAGCTATAGTAGTTACAAGACGTCCTACTCCTCTCTCTCTCTCTCTCTCTCTCTCTCTCTCTCTCTCTCTCTCTCTCTCTCTCTCTCTCTCTCCTCCTAATCCAAACACGTTTCTTATATAGTTTCCCCATGTGGGTTTCATGTTGTTTTCAGTCGTCCCCTTGTGAGATGCAATTTTTCGTTATTTGAAGCCCCATCCTGGCTATTTTCGGGGGCCCTGAATATAGCCGGGCCATAAATATGTCCTAACGGCTGAAACGGGTTTCTGGGACCTCTCCAAGGGTGATCCTCATCCGCATGATGGCACTTTGTGTCACCGTGTGTTTATTGCTTGTGTGATGTCATGGTAGGGTACAACAAGAGAGAGAGAGAGAGAGAGAGAGAGAGAGAGAGAGAGAGAGAGAGAGAGAGAGAGAGAGAGAGAGAGAGAGAGAAGGGGGGAGGGTGTTCCAGGACTCTGTTTTTGAAGAAAAAATTAAAGACCCTCCTGCCTTATAGCAAGCATGTCGTAGGAGGCGACTAATTAAGGGTGTTTCATTCATAGCCGGGATGCCTCTGCATGAGAGACAAGAAACCAAAGGTTGGCAAACAAAAAAGCCAGATATGTAAAATGTATGTGCACGCAAAACTCGACTTCTGAATCGAGGTCAAAGTCCAGGAGTGAACCAATAAGTAGACATTTCTGCCGGGGTTTACAGCCGGTGAACGCTAAGAATAATATGGAGACTGAGATTAACGAAAGGAAAAGAACGGAGAGAAAGAATAACGTTTGCAGCTTTGCTGCGGTACTACTGCTGCTACAGCTGCTGTTACTATTACTGCTGATGTTGCTGCTACTATTACTGATGCTACTGCTGCTGGTGATGCTACTGTATCTACTACTGTTACTGCTTTTACTATTACTGCTACTACTGCTGTCACTACTACTACTACATTTACTGCTGCTGCTGATGTTACTTATACTACTAATACTTCAACCTCTACCTCCTCTTCTTCTTCTTTTTCTTCTTCTTCTTCTTCTTCTTCTTCTTCTTCTTCTTCTTCTTCTTCTTCTTCTTCTTCTTCTTCTTCTTCTTCTTCTTCTTCTTCTTCTTCTTCTTTTTCTTCTTCTTCTTCTTCTTCTTCTTCTTCTTCTTCTTCTTCTTCTTCTTCTTCTTCTTCTTCTTCTTCTTCTTCTTCTTCTTCTTCTTCTTCTTCTTCTTCTTCTTCTTCTTCTTTTCTTCTTTTTCTTCTTCTTTTTTCTTCTTCTTTTTTCTTCTTCTTTTTTCTTCTTCTTTTTTCTTCTTCTTTTTCTTCTTCTTCTTCTTCTTCTTCTTTTTCTTCTTCTTCTTCTTCTTCTTCTTCTTCTTCTTCTTCTTCTTCTTCTTCTTCTTCTTCTTCTTCTTCTTCTTCTTCTTCTTCTTCTTCTTTTTTTTTTTATGTTTCGTCTTCTTTTTTTCTACCTTGTACCTCTGCAAAGTGTCGTGGGTAGATGTCACATTCGTTAATGAGCTCTGTCAAGAGCACTTTTAAGATTGATGCTCATTTCTGTAAGGCTGTTCTACCACCTCTGCGGGTATTAATAATGACATTATTGTCACTACCACTGTTGATGATGGTACTTTACCCATAATTCTACTGCTGCTACGACTACTAATACTCTTATTTCTAATACTGCAATTCCGCTACCATCTCTTATAGAAAAAAAAAACTAACAACAAAATAGATGTCTACAAAAAATTAAAATTAAAGCATAAAATCCAACCATCAGGATGAATGGAAGCCACGAGAAGACAAGTCAATGGAAAACATAACGTTTTGTTTACTCCCTCGTTAGGTGTAAAAACCGAGGTTAACTGTTTACTATTCACATATTCCTAACGCGGTTGTTATCTGAATTTCAATAGGCGCATCACAGCCCGCGTATCAATCAACCCAAGCTTTGACAAGCAAACATTTCATTCATATTCTGGACCAGTTATCGGGGTGGTCCTGTCATTCAGCGCCCGCTTACGGGAAATTTAGAAATATCCAATTGCTGAATAAGTCTCAAAGGTTAATACCTAATTCTTTCTTAATCTGATTTATTATAGGGGAATAACAAGAACGCTTGCAGACGTGGGTTCACAGTTTGTGGAAACGTGCTGAAAGACGTATGGGGCGTTTATTTATCAGGGCTATTGGCAAGCTGAAGGAAGAGGGTGTCAATAGAAAATTCTGTGTGAACAGGTGTTGTTGGGTTACCACCTTGCAGTTATAGAGATAGGGAGCAACGGGACATGTGTTCTATAGAACGTCAACAACTACTGTCTATGTTCTCTAATGGAAGTTAAGGAAGCGTATAAATATCTCACAAAGAAAACTTCTTTTCATTCGTGGCTACAGTTCATTCATTAGCCCGCGAAGAAACTTTTTCATTTCACTGACGGAAAGTAACATTGCCTTGTTTTCCACTACGGGAATACCCTGCCCTTTTCAGGCACCGGGCGTCGTTAGTAGCACAATAGCTTGGCATCATTATATTTCTATAGGCCTGGTAGTTCGGCCAACACGTTTCAGAGTGCTCTATCCATAGCTACTGGGTCGATACCCACCTACCAACCTACCTGTTGTTGCTGTTCAGTCTCTGTCTGCTTATCTATCTATCTATCTATCTATCTATCTATCTATCTATCTATCTATCTATCTATCTATCTATCTATCTATCTATCTATCTATCTATCTATCTATCTATCTATCTATCTATCTATCTATCTATCTATCTATCTATCTATCTATCTATCTATCTATCTATCTATCTATCTATCTATCTATCTATCTATCTATCTATCGATCTATCTATCGATCTATCTATCTATCTATCTATCTATCTATCTATCTATCTATCTATCTATCTATCTATCTATCTATCTATCTATCTATCTATCTATCTATCTATCTATCTATCTATCTATCTATCTATCTATCTATCTATCTATCTATCTATCTATCTATCTATCTATCTATCTATCTATCTATCTATCTATCTATCTATCTATCTATCTATCTATCTATCTGTCTATCTGTCTATCTGTCTATCTATCTATCTATCTATCTATCTGTCTATCTGTCTATCTATCTATCTATCTATCTATCTATCTATCTATCTATCTATCTATCTATCTATCTATCTATCTATCTATCTATTCTATCTATCTATCTATCTATCTATCTATCTATCTTATCTATCTATCTATCTATCTATCTATCTATCTATCTATCTATCTATCTATCTATCTATCTATCTATCTATCTATCTATCTATCTATCTATCTATCTATCTATCTATCTATCTATCTATCTATCTATCTATCTATCTATCTATCTATCTATCTATCTATCTATCTATCTATCTATCTATCTATCTATCTATCTATCTATCTATCTATCTATCTATCTATCTATCTATCTATCTATCTCTATCTATCTATCTATCTATCTATCTAATCTATCTATCTATCTATCATAACAGTAAATAGTGTCGCTATTGCTGGCACATTATCATACTGGATCAGTCTTTGTGTCATTGTGTGTGTGGGGGGGGGGTGAGGGGGTCTGAGTAAAGAGAAACAGAGTGACACAAGAGTCACACACACACACACACACACACAGAGAGAGAGAGAGAGAGAGAGAGAGAGAGAGAGAGAGAGAGAGAGAGAGAGACTGTGTGTATACATATGTGTGAAGGAAAAATAAAAGTGGAGCTCGTGACAAATACTCATACATTTTAGTTTATGCCTAAAGACATATACTACTATCTGTTGAATGAAATCAAAACAAACAGAATCAAAGCAACAACTTTAATCGACGACAGTTTATTTACATAAGTGTTTTTCTTTCTCTACAGGTGTGGTTTCAAAATCGTCGCACAAAATGGCGGAAGAAGCACGCAGCAGAAATGGCAACAGCCAAAAAGAAACAGGAGCAGGCAGAAGATATGGACGACAACTCTGAACCAGAAGACGAAAATGTTGACCAGGATTTGAAAGCAGATTGCAACTTTTTAGACGGTGTTGACTTTCACTGAAATTGTTGTACTGGTGCACGAATGTTGCTCCGTCGGAATGTCTATAAACAGTTGTAAATCTCAGTCACCATGGTAACTAGTGGCTGTCAACAGTACTCCATAAAAGGGATGTTTTACAACATCCCCAGTGTTCCGATTGTGATCCTTTACTTTGTACTTACGGAGAAGGAAAGTTAGCGTCGCTTCAAAGATTTTCTCACTGTTTTCAAGAATCAGAATGGTGTATGGCTGAGGCATCCTTCGTTCATGTAGTTCTGTTTGTCGCAGCTGACAGTGGAGTCGGCAAACGATATCTGCTCCAAATTTAAGTAGCGACGGATCATGGGTTGCAGTAGTCGTCTTCGTCTATGCCAGTAATCAAACCACTGGAAGAAGTGTTTTACTATGTATGAATTTATAATTTTTTGTTTAAAGAAATAAACAAAGAAATGAACAAAAAAAAAATGGTGTTTGACGCAAACAATTTCACACAGTATAAATGTACATCATATCCAGAAAGGATACATTTATAATGGACTGAGAAATCAAGTAATCAAGTCACTAGAAGAAGTGCTTTAATATTTATAAATAGATACCTAAAAAAAATATTAAAAATAACAATATAGACTAGTCACACTTATGCACTGTCAAAAAACAAAAACAAAAAGAAACGCATAGCTACTGAGAGGAACAAACATACTCACAACTTTGACATTCTGCATCTTCGTAATGCAATAAGTGAAATTACTCAAATTTCACACAAGAATACTTTAGAGTTCCAACAATCAATTGACACCTTTTTTGCATCTGGGTCACGATCATTTTTAGGCGTACGGCCTTTCTCATTAGTATTGTGTGTTGCCTATTTCGTGAATCAGTGACTGGCATCTCCTGGGCATGGATGCGATCAGATGTCTGGCGTGGGCCTGTGGGATGGCTGCCCACTCTTCCTGGAGTGCTCGAACAGATCACGACCATTGGCTGGAGCAACGTGTCGGCGACAAACACGTCTTTGCAGCTCATCTCACAGGTGCTCAAGCGGATTCATGTCTGCAAACAGAGATGATCACGGAAGAGTTTGCATGTTATTGGCAGCCAGGAACTGCGTGGTAAACAATGCAGATTGGAGTCTGACTTTTTCCTGTTGAAAAAGATATCTGCTGGCTTCACAAAATGGAGGGACATGTGGTCGGAGAATTTCACTGACGTATTGTTGCGCATTCAAGCTTCCTTTAATAAGCACTACTTGACTCTTCCCGTTGCACCTGATCTTTTCCCATACCACTACACCTCCACCGCCGTGCAGCAGAGCTTCATCAACACAATTTTGGGTTAAAACTTCATTTGGCCTACGGTAAGCCTGTACCTTCTATAATGACGCTGCAATAAAAAGAAAGATTCGTCACTGAACCAGAAACGTTTTCATTGATTGTCACCTACCCATGGACGATGTTGGTTGGCTCAGAGAAGTCGATTTTGGCGGTGGAGACGCGTAATGACATGTTCTCGATGTGGTCGTCGTCCCCAATTCCAACATCATACAGTCTGTTCAAAACAGTTTGATCAGACTTATGACGTCCTGGAGGCAAAGCCTGCGCAGTTGATGAAGCTGTTGTAAACCTGTCTCTAAGCTTACGAAGCCGAATAATGCGATTCTCTGCTACTGTTGTCACTCTGGGTCGTCCACTGCGACGACGGTCTTCTGCTGAACCAGTGGCTTGGAACCGGTGCCAAAGTCGACTGATGACGCTCTGATGCACGTTTAGATGCCTGGAAACCTGACTTTCTCATGCCTGCAGTGGGCCAATAGCAACATTCCTTAAATTTATCGAAAGAGGCACCATTCGTGACTGCTTGCAAATGAACTGAATGTTTTGGTGTAGCCTTATCCTTTTATAGGGTTTCAATTGCGTAGGCAGTGAATAGTGATCACCCCAAACTGTCTTGCTTTCTCGTGTGCACATCATGAGCTATACTCGCAAATATGGTGTTAAACACAAATTGACCACTGCGTTGGAACAATTATAAAAACCACGCAATTCACGCCCACATGTCCACTGGACACGGTAAACAACATTTGAGTCTGCTTTTGACATACCCGATATTTTATCGTCCGGTTCTCTGTGGATTTGAACCCACGGCTTTCTGATCCCCAAGCGAGCGTCTGGCTACTACCTCACGGTTTGAGACGTCCCGATGCCAGATTATCTAATCTCTGGGTGTGACTCCATACAATTAAACTTCTCCAGCTGGATCATAGTTTTGGTGTCTCTTCTATAAGACAATGTCTGCATTATGTTATTTTCTGCATCTGCAGGAGTGGTGCAGTTTTCAAGGATCTTGAGATGAGTCTAGGAGCTTAATTTTGCTCTCTCTCTCTCTCTCTCTCTCTCTCTCTCTCTCTCTCTCTCTCTCTCTCTCTCTCTCTCTCTCTCTCTCTCTCTCTCTCTCTCTCTCTCTATCTCTCGCTAACAATTACAGATGGAAATTAGCAGATGTGGCACCAAACTCCAAGTGGGGTTTTATATCTCCATTACAAACTTTCTTTATGGTTTTTTTGGCACCCAAAAGTGTACCTGTAGTTTTCTAAGTAGCCCTAGTCGTCTCCTGACCTTCCCTTCTACATTCTCTATACCTTTGCTCCATGTGAACCTTTTATCTTCTTCTTCTTCTTCTTCTTCTTCTTCTTCTTCTTTCTTCTTCTTCTTCTTCTTCTTCTTCTTCTTCTTCTTTTTCTTCTTCTTCATTCACCGGCTGCGAATTCCGGCAAAAGGTCCAGTACTTCGTTTATTTGGACTTTTGGCTTTCACCTAGACGTGAGTTTTGCGTCTATACCCGTTTAACAGGCTTATTTGCCGTTCAATGCCTCACCGGCAGATGTACTCCGACTTCGAGGGAAGAACCATTTATCAAATGTCCAAGATAAACGGGGAAGCTTTCTTCTTTTAGCAAGGATGTTCCTCGCTTTTTCTTATTGTGAAATTGTCTCTGGTCAGCGGACTTTTTTCAACATGCTCTGTCTGTTTTACAATTGACGAGTTATGTTAAAGTGCATGCAAATCCTCTGAGTTGTCCTAGCGTGATATATGCATGCTTCAATCATTACGTCCTTTTTAGGACGTAATTTTTTGTTATTTGAAGCCCCACTCTGGCTTTTGCCAGGGGCCGCAATATAGGCAGGTCATCATTATGGCCAAATGTCTGAACGCGGTTTCTGGGACCTCTCCACGGTGATCCTCATCCGCATGGTGGCACTTTGTGTCATCGGGTGTTTATCGCTTGTGTGATGTCCTGGTGGGGTAAAAAATCCATCCATCTATCTGAGTTGTCCTTCCTCGTGCAAGGACAGAGGCCAACTCTTCTATTAAGAGGTGAAGGAAGACATGGAGTCTACCATCATTTTTTAAACTTCAGATTTTTCGCATCGCCAATCTCATCAAATCTGCTCGGTTTAGATCTCGGTTTAGATGGAAAATTGCGCCCTGAACAAGTGGAAATACACGTGTTTCAAACAAGTGGGAAAAACTGCGGGCTCGGATAAGCGGGACAGCAGTGTCCCAAATGAATGGGGGAAAATGCATATCAAACAAATGGGAATACAGTGCATCTCAAACAAGCGGGAAAACCGTTTATCAAATAAGTGAAGAAACAGTGCACCTCAAAGAAGCGAGAAAACAGTGCGCCTCAAAGAAGGGATAAAACAGTGTGCCTCAAAGAAGCGAGAAAACAGTGCGCCTCAAAGAAGGGATAAAACAGTGTGCCTCAAAGAAGGGATAAAACAGTGTGCCTCAAAGAAGGGATAAAACAGTGCGCCTCAAAGAAGAAGAAAAACAGTGCGCCTCAAAGAAGGGATAAAACAGTGTGCCTCAAAGAAGGGATAAAACAGTGCGCCTCAAAGAAGAAGAAAAACAGTGCGCCTCAAAGAAGGGATAAAACAGTGTGCCTCAAAGAAGGGATAAAACAGTGCGCCTCAAAGAAGAAGAAAAACAGTGCGCCTCAAAGAAGGGATAAAACAGTGTGCCTCAAAGAAGCGGGAAAACAGTGCGCTTCCGAGAAGTGATAAAATAGTGTGCCTCAAAGAAGCGGGAAAACAGTGCGCCTCGAAGAAGGAGGAGAACAGTGCGCCTCAAAGAAGCGGGAAAACAGTGCGACTCAATGAAGTGGGAAACCTACAACCTTAACTAGTTGGAAAACAGGGCATCTCAAAGAGTGCGCCCTAAGCATTGATTTTCATTAAGATGGCAATGTTCAAAGTTGCTGTTGGAAATCATAGAAACAGTGCATTGATAGAGCCGCGAATGAGAAGTTTCAACGTTCACAAATGGACAACCTAACTTTAATCGGAAAACTACCCCATTGGCTTAACATTAACAGTTAATCGAAGATTAAAACGACGTACCCTGTTCAATGATTTTTTTCTGAGCATATATTGTACCTATAATTGTGTTTTATTTTATCATTGATTACATTGACATATGACTCAGGTTGTCGGAGTAATAAATAGTTTTGTTCTGCGCATATATTAGTGAATTAATATAGTTAACAGAAGTATATGTGTGTTTGTGTGTGTTAATTAGTTATTCGACAGGTTATTCTCACTACACATCGAGCCACTTAGTCCATAATTGTTCGTATCCTCTCCTCAGTAAATCCCACGCCGTGTAGCGGCTGACGACACCTGTCCTGTTTTAGTTTCTTATTCTGCTTTAGTTCCTACATAGTACTCTTGTCTGGCATGTTTCATGAAATCAGGCAGCCTGGTCATGGTTGGAGATTCACAGTCATCACTTGATTCACAAGAACTCATATTTCTCGTTGACCATTCAGTTTATCAGACTGGCCCATTTCTCATGTCGGCGTCTGTGGCTTAGGCGTTACGAGCGCTTTGTAATGCCGGGGTGCCGAGTTCGATCCCAGCGGCAGGCGTTGCGCCTTTCGTTGGTTTCGACAGTGGTATCCAGAAGATGACCGTCCATAAAGAAATGGCAAACTGCTGGACGTAAACTTGCCTAGGAAAACCA